TCAAATCTTATTACAAATCTACAGTAATCAAGATAATGTGGTAATGGCATAAGGACAGACATGTAGTGCAATGGAATAGAATTGAGAATACAGAAATAAACTCTCACTTTTATGGTCAAGTGAATTCTGACAATGATGCTAAGACAATTAGATGGGGGAAAGAATTGTCTTTTCAACAATTGATACTGAGACAACTGAATACTGTATTCACATGCAAAAGTATGAAGTTTGATCCCCTACCTCACACCATATGCAAAAATTAATTCAAAATGAATCACAGAGCTAAATGTAAAAGCTAAAGCTACAAAACTCTTAAAAGATAACATACATATAAATCTTCATGACCTCAGATTAGGCAATGGTGTCTTAAATATGACACTAAAAATACAAGCAACAAAAGAAAAAATAGAGCAATTTAACATCATTAAAATTAAAAACCTCTGTGCTTTAAAGGACACCATCAAGAAAATGAAAAGGTAGTCTACAGAATGAGAAAACATTTTACAAACTATATATGTGATAAGGAACTTGTACCTAGAATACATAAATATCTTAGGCTATTTATTTGGAGCTAAAAAAAGGGAAAAAAATAGAATACATAAAGAAGTCTTACAACTCAAAATAAAGGGGCAAATAACCCAATTAAAAAATAGGCAAAAGATCTATATAGACATTTCTCTAAAGATAAACAAAGGGCCAATAACCATATGAAAAGATGTTCAAAATCATTAGCCATCAGGACAACGCAAATCAAAACCACAATGAAATACCAATTTATACCAACCAAGGTGATTATAATAAAAAAACGATAATAACAGATGTTGGTGAGGATGTGGAGATACTCTCATACATTGCTGGTGGGAATGTAAATGTTGCAGCTGGGAAAAATTTGGGGGGAAATGGAGAGTGAATGCCAATTGGTATGGTTCTCTTTTGGGGGGTAACGAAAATGTGCTAAAAGTGTGATGGTTCACACAACACTGTGAATATATTAAAACCCTTGAATTGTACACTTAATTTTAAATAGGTATTTTGTATGATATATGAATTATATCTCAACAAGGCTGTTATAATAACAAAAATGGAACGAAGTAGTTATACATGCTATAACATGGGTGAACCCTGAAAACATTATGCTAAGTGAAAACATCCAGACACAAAAAGCCACATATTATATGATTGCATTTATATGAAATGTCCAGGCATAGACAGAAAGTAAGCAGTGGTAGGTAGGAACTAAAGGCTTTGGGAGTGGAGAGAATTGAGAATCATTGCTAACGGGCATGGAGATTTCTTTTTGGGATGATGAGAATCTTCTAGAATTAGATAGTGGTAGTAATGATTGCACAACCTTGTAAATAAAGAACCATTCAACTGTACTCTTTCAAAGAGTAAATTTTATGATATAGGAATTATATCTCAATTTTTTAAAACGTGGTATCAGCCTAGCTCACAGCAACCTCAAACTCCTGAGCTCAAGCAATCCTACTGTCTCAGCCTCCCGAGTAGCTGGGACTACAGGCACACGCCACCATGCCCGGCTAATTTTTTTCTCTATATATTTTTAGCTGTCCAATTAATTTCTTTCTATTTTTGGTAGAGATGGGGTCTTGCTCTTGCTCAGGCTGGTCTCGAACTCCCGGGCTCAGAACGATCTGCCCGCCTCGGCCTCCCAGAGTGCTAGGATTACAGGCGTGAGCCACCGCACCCGGCCTAGCTTTTTTTTTTTTTTTAAAGCCTTCCAGAATAAACAGAGAAACAGAATTCTAGTTCTAGCTGTAGTGCCTACTGGGTAACCTCTGTCACCTTTGATTATCTCACCCCAACAGTCAACATACTTTACCCATTTTTTGTTTCTGCCTGGGGCTTGGTACAACTAGGGCAAGGAATACCTGTGACCTGAAGGTCCTTCTCCAACTGGGAAGAGATTGTACCTTTCCTTTGTCCCCTCCTTTCCTATCACTCAGTGCCTTCAAAGCATAATTCCTGTTAAAAATTACATCTACTCATAAAGAACTTTGCAAGCTTTTGAACATTTTATGTTTATGCCAACCAGTTTTTTTTTTCTGTAGAGGGACAGAAGCCTCATTTCAAACTATAACTTTTAATCAAATTTACATAGAAATAAAATGTTTTAAAAGTTATCATTTGTACAAAGACAACACATTGTCATTACAGAAAACTTAGAAAATTCATAAAAGTAGAAAGGAGAAAATATCACCCCTTATCTCCCCACCCCGTTCTTGCCTTCTTTCTATGCATAGTTTCATTGCCTAATTACTCATTGTTTCTCAAATTTTCTTTCTTTTTTTTTTTTTTAGAGACAGGCCCTGTCGCCCAGGCTAGAGTGCAATGGCACAATCACAGCTCACTGCAGCCTCCAACTCCTGGGCCCAAGCAATCCTCCCCACTCAGCCTTCCCCAATTTTCCTATAAAAAATTTCAAACATACAGAAAAATTAAAAGTCTAGTATAAGGAATACCCATATAACACCATCTTGAGTCAACAGTTATTAAAGTTTTGCTATATTTGCTTTATTTATGTGTGTGTGTATGTGGCCAGGCATGGTGGATTATGCCTGTAATCCCAGCACTTTGGGAGGCTGAGGCAGGAAGATCACTTGAGGCCCAGAGTTCAAGATCAGCCTGAACAATATAGCAAGACCTCATCTTTACAAAAAATAAAATAAAAATATATGTATATTTTCCTGAATCATTCCAAGGTTAAGTTGCAGACATTGCGAAACTTCATCCTAAATTCTTCAGCATGCATCTCCTAAAAAAAGGCCATGTTCCTACCCAACCATTTTTCATACTTAAGAAAATTAATAATTCCCTAATATTATCTAATATCCAATCCATATTAAAATCGCCCGAATTCTGATACATAACTTTTGAACAGAGCCGCATAACAGTTCTTCCCATTGTAACTCTCTGACTCTCACCAGAGAAACTAGGCCATTTGAAAAAATATTCAACAAAGTAGAGATAACAATTCCCCTTCTGTTTGTCTTTGGGAATAAACAACATGGCTGACCCTGGGTAGGGGTGATGGGAGAAATGTGAAGAAGACAGTTTCAGGGGGAAAGTGTTTATGTTCCTCCCACTTTCCAACCAGGTATACTAGCTCCATTGCAAGTGGGGATTAGGTTAAGAAGGAAGCACAACTTCATTCTCTTCCTTTAATGGCAACCAATTTCAGACAGCTATGTTGGCCTCAGCCCTCTGGCCTGACATTTGTTCTGGGAGTCATCATTGTCACCCTCAACATCTACTCAAGTAGGCAAACATGTGACAAGGACCAACACGGCTGACTGCTCCATCCTCTACCTCGCCCCAGCTGGTCACCCCTAGGGTCAGATCCCTGATTCCACTGGTGGCCTCTCTACTAAAAATAGAAAAATTATCCAGGTGTAGTGGCATGTGCCTGTAGTCCCAGCTACTCAGGAGGCTGAGGCAGGAGGATCGCTTGAGCCCAGGAGTTTGAGGTTGCTGTGAGCTATGATGGTGCCACTGCACTCTACCCAGGGCGACAGAGTGAGACTCTGTCTCAAAAAAAAAAAAAAAAAAAAAAGATATTCTAAAGCAGTCTTCCCTCTGGCACCCCATCCTCAAAGCATCCAACATACAGACTACTACCAAGGCCATCTATCTCGTTAAGTCTCAATTTCCCTAGCAATAAAAATGAGCAGCAAAATCAGGTTATTTTTCAAGTCCCTTCTAACTTTGATGTATGAGGTTTTAGAGTCTTGAGATTCCACAGCCTCACATTCTGAGAGCACAGAGCTGGCCAGCCCTTGTTAGAAGGCAGCTCGTCTGTGGTTTGGCACCACTGCCCAGCAGGCATTTATTAAATCAATGGGATGTGGTCCCTGCTGGCCTGGAAAGAGAACATTAAGCTCCAAAAACTTCCTGCAGCAGGCCTCCTTCAGAGAGTGCTGTTCAGAGGGGTGAGGAACAAAACCATTCAGGTCCCTGGCTGTGCTCCAAGATCCTGTTCACTAGTACTTTTGCCCTGTCTGCACGGAGAACCAGTGACTAAAAACATCTGGAAGCCTGCTTAAGACCTGGGTGACTTCTCTCGCCTTCCTTTGGGGGTGGCCGTTCTTGACCCTGGTAATCCAGGTTGAACTTTGCCAATGCCCCTTCCCTTTCAATCTTCTGCACTTCATTGGGCAACACCCTCTAATAAAATCCACATGAACCCAGCTGCTAACAGCTCCTGGAAGGGCTGTGGGATCTAACACCTGCCCCTGCATTCCTTGAACCCTAGTAGCAAGGGAAAACAGGGCTGAGACCCAACTTTTGCACCTCTGGGCCTTATAGTGGAGTTGTGGAGAAAGGGAGTAGGTGGGAAGAGAGAAACATTAATGATGAGGCTTTGCTGAAGGTGGGAAGGCAGCTGTGGGCAAGTAACGCACAGGTGTAGTGACGTGGCCACTGGGTAGCCTAGCAGAGCCCTGTGGGCCTGGGCTTGCCTCATTCCCAGTGACCTTAGGGTGGCAAGGCTTATCACTCTGGGAGGCAGGCCTGGGCTGAGTGGGCAGAGAGCATGTGTCACTGACCTGGTGGTCCAGCATTGCCCGTCCTTCCTCTCCCTGTTGTGACCTGGGGAGCCCAAAGTTCCTTGGGTTTCTCATTAATTATTTAAGAAACTATTCACTGAGCACCTACAAGATATATGCCTAGTGCTGGGGAGAGATACATCAGTAAGTAGAACAGACCCAATTTCTGCATTCCAGTCCCATTCACTTGGAAATCCTGACTATGGGTCACGAAGTCTTGGGGACATTGGTAGGGTGGAATGAGAGTGCTTAGAGTTCCAGAGGTAGGGACCCTGGAAGTGCTGGTTCTCTCCCATTTTGACTCTCTATCCCTTAGCTTCTCTAGGGTATAGCGTATGGACTCAGGATTCCCTCTGGTTAAAGACAGAGCTCTAAATTCACTTTAGCTTTCTTCTCCCCACCAAGGGCAAGAGTCCAAGAAATAAGCACAACAGGTTAGAAGGATAGATAAGCTGCTTGAGGTTTATTTATAAAGTACAATGATACACATATTGGGCTTGCCCTTATTTTTACTTCTCCTTTGCCTTCCTCTCCACCCAGCTGAGATTTTTGCTTGCTTTCATCTGAGGGTCCTGAGCTGATTTCACTAACCTATCTGCTCTTGGCTGTAATGAGCCAAAGACCAGTACAACCTTCCCTGGACCTGAGGGTGGGTTCATCTCAGCAGGCCCTCAAGGATCCCACCAAAGGAACTGACTCTGCTGACTCCAGTCAGCTCAGGGTTCTGTGGAGCGGAGAAACTGGTGTCCTTCCTGGAGTGCTGCCTTCATCTCCTCGAACTGAGCCAACTGGCAGGCCTCGTCCAGCCCCAGCCAGCGGTAGGCTTGGTGCTCGTGGGAGAGGCGGATCTCCACGTCGTAGTCCTTCACCTCCGCCAACCAGTAAATGACTGTTTTAGGCTTCTCCCTGGCCACATAATTGAGCTCCCTTCTGAACCCCTCAATGATGGTTAGCTGGCCTGCTTCTATTCCCGCTTCCTCCTGCGTCTCCCTCAGGGCTGTTTCCAAGTCATTCTCTCCTGGTTCCACATGGCCTGGTTAGGAGAAAAGAGGAAGAGAAGAAGGAGGAAATTTTTAACAGGCCCCAAAGCTGGATTTTTCCAGGCCAGATGATTTAAAGATTGGGTCTTCAGTGAATTTTCTTGGTGTTCCTAGGCTAAAGGAAGCCTGGGGATTGGCGATATCCTAACATGCCTAGGAAGAGGGTGCAAGGCAGGTAGTATCTGCTTCTCAGGGTCTGAGCAATCCCTCCTTCCCACCTTGTCTTGTCTGCAGAGAGTGAAACAGACCATGTGTTTGGCAAGCCAGGTTTAGAATACTACTCTTTGATGTTGAGAAAGATGATCTCCCTCAGACTTCTGCTTTCTTGTTCTTTGGAGCTCTCCTTATCCCATGTTCTCAGGGACCACTTTTCCCTTGGAGAACTAAAAGTGATTTTTCTAAGGACGGGCAATCCCCTGTTAGCAGGTGGGAGCTAGCTAAAGAGGGAGTACTTCATCTACAATCCAGTGAGGACTTAACACTGTCTACGGTTGGACTCTGAAGTCCCAGGACCAAAAGACAGGCTTAAAACCCTGCACTGCTGTACCAGCAGCTGTTTCCAAGTAGCTATCAAGGCTTTTTCCAAATTGTTTTCATCCTTCTAACTGAGCAAGGCCAGATTTCAGTTTCATAGGGAAAGTCCTGATGGGAACTTAGACTAAGGACAAGCTGAGAGCCAGTTCTAAGAAAATGTGTTGGCAAGACCTGAAACCAAGCAGACAGCTGCCAAGAAACTGTTGCAGAAGAATCTGAAGCTCTGCAGACTGGAGCAGCCCACAGCTTTACCTCTAGGCCCTTCCCACAAATTCTCAGCTTCCCCAGTGGGAACAAGAAGGACTGGGGAGGGTCTGGCAGCCTCTGTTTACTCATGGCTCCAGCAAGTTGCTGGGGATGGCCTCCTGGTCCAGGAGCTGATGGGGAGTAGGAACTTTTAGCTGTGCCTTCCTTGGTTTGGAGATGGGGCTATACCCTAGCTCTCCTCCTTCCCAGAGGTCCACAGTACCCTGAGTGAGTCACTACTACACAAAAAACAACCAGGAACTTAGCACTTAAAACCCATTCTAGCTCATGGCTTTTGGGGAATTTTCTCTGCACAGTACCTCCTACAGTGATATACACAAAGACAGATAGGTAGTTCATTGGGGGAGGACAGTAGGAGGGATGCTGGTGATGAGAGGTGACAGTGATTTAAGACGCCCTACCTCCCCTCAGAGGTGTATGGGAATCTCTGAGCACACCCCTCCCAAAGGCATCTATTCAATATTCTGCCCATCAATGATAACAGGGTAACTTCTCCCCAAGCCCAAGCAAGAGAGGATTAGGAGAGGTCCTTTCACATCTTGTAGTGAGAGGAACCATAAAGTATGACTTAGGTGGTCAGGAGACAAGTGTGAATATTCCTATTCATAGTATTTGTGACACTTCCATCTCTTTTTTTCACCGTTTCTCCCCAGTACGATTCAAATGTGCAAAATTTATTTCCTGTTCCCACTTCCTTGTTTTTCTTCAACCCTGGATCCTTGTCCACCTCTCTCCACAATACTCCCTTTTAAAGTCCTTGTTCTCTTGTGTCTGGGGGCTGTTCACTCTGGGCTCCTCATCCTAGCAGGCGCCAGAGCCAACAGTCTGTCCCTGCCCACTGGGACCATGTCAATGGCCTCAACCAAGGATGGCTCCTTTTTCCCATTTCTGCCTACACAGCCTGGTTTCTCTTTCAGAACCATCTGACTGAGGCTTTCTTCCTCTTAGAGGTGGGATCAGGAATGCTGGTGGATGAAAACCAGCCAGTTTACAAACAGATCTTGGCCTAGTCTCAGGCCTCAGGCTACTAGTCTTCACTGTTCTGCCCCCTGGAGACTTGGCTAACTCCACCCTGGTTGCTGAGTGATAGACCCAGGGCATAGGTAGCTGGCCAAGCTGCGATCCCAAAGTCTCTGTAATCTTCACAGCCCCCTGGTCTGAGGAGGGTCCTCCTATCCCCTCACTCATCCACTCCTGCCAGAGTTTGCAGATGAATCTATGATCAGGGAACCCACCTTTTCCGTGCTCCAACTCAAACCATGTTCAGAAACACTCCAGAAATCACACTCTCTGTGTGTTTAGTTCAAAAGAAAAACCTAGCGAGAGGACACTAGACTGGGAGTCAAAGGAACTTAATCAAATGAAATCAGAGATAGCTGGGAGCTGGAAGAAAACAGGATTTTCTAGTCAGCCTCTTGCTTGACAAATGAAAAACTCAAAGCCCAGAGAGGTGGGCACACATCTCAATCATGACTCAACTCCAAGGTCTCCAATTCCCAGCCCAGTGGCTTTTCTCCTATTCAGCCATTCACTCCAGAGGCTGGAGAGCTGGTCAATGATACTCACAAAAACACCAGGTGCTGCAGCTGCTCTGGAATTCAGTCACGGAATTCTATTTGCAGCTCTGCTTTGTCCTGGCCTGGAGACCTTGTATGTAGAAAGGATCAAAGACTCCTACCTACCCCAACCCCTCCTATTGCACAGTCATTGGGAAACAAGCCTTGTGGAGGGACTAGCAGGATGGATTTCTGAGCAACACTCGGCAATTTCCCAAGAGCCAGCCCCTCTGGCCTCGCACCTTTGGGAGGAGTCCAGTGATGAATACCATCTGATGCCTGCAGCAGAAGAAACTCAATCGCATTGTTATCCACCTTGGGAATGAGGCGTCTTCGGAAGATGATCAAGCCACATGCTCTCACAGCCATGGTCTATCTAAGGACTTAACAAAGAAGATGTGGGACATTGGGCAATTACACAAAATAGGAAGATCTATACTGGAAGGTACCACTCTGGTGCTGAAGAGTAGCACAGACTAGCTAACGGTGATCTCATAACCCACAGAAAAAGGCAGCATGCCAAGGACCAATGAGGGCATCCAGGAATCAGAGACTGACCTTTGTGTGTAACTGCGGGACCCTGGCAACTACCTTCAATGTGGCCTCTATCCCAACTCCTCCAGGTCTCCCTGTAAGACACAGGGCCGGTGTGTGTTTGTTATGAGACTGGAGATCCTCAGAAGCGAACACACTGAAACAAGAGAGGCGCTGGGAATGGGAGAGATGTAGCAAAAGTATTATCATCAAACCTACAATCCCATTCCCCTCAGCCTACATTCTGATTCAGAAGGGTTACCTAGGGAGGGTAGGTTGCTGTAAGAAAAAAATATTTTGTTGGTTTCTTTGAGTCTTTATTTTATCCATGTTTTTTAACATGTTATACATTCACTGGGTCCAAATTCAAAGCTCAAAAGGGCACACATAGTAGAAAGTCTCTTTTCCACCTCATCAGAGACAAACTATTAATAGCATAGTGATCAAAAGCATGATCCTGGAGCTGGGGTTCAGGTTCTGGCTCTGACACTTATTGGCTATGTGACCTCCTATTCCTCATCTGTGAAATGGGATAATAATAGCTCCATCTCAAAAGGTTGCTGTGAGGATTAGATCATTTCATTTTTGTAAAAGTGCTTTGGAATAGTGCCTGACACATAATAAGCACTCAATAGATTTCCATGTGTGTAGGAAAATGTCTAGAAAGATACACATCATTAATCGTGATTTCTGGATGATGAGATTATGGGGAGACTTTCATTTTCTGATCCATATATTTCTGTATAGTTTGAAATTTTACAGAGAATATGTATTCATTTTGTAATCAGCAATACAATAAAGATTTTTCCATTTCAGAACAAAAAGCCAACCACAACAAAAAAGATAAGGGAAAGGAGAAAAGTAAGAATATCTGCACAACTGAAAAGAAAATTCATCTGAAGGGGGACTCATAATCAAGATAACAAAAAATACTACAGATATTTTATGTGAGGCCCTGCTAAAGAAAAATTTGTGTCATTCATTCATTCAACAAATATTGAACACCTACTATGGTACTAAGCACCGCTCTAGGCTTTTGCCTTCATGCAGCTAATACTCTAATGGGAGAGGCAGACTTTAATCAAATAGCTAAACAAATTAAAAAATAACTGCCTATAAGGTACATGCTACAAAGGAAAAATGTGTGATGGGTAACCTGACCTTGTCTGAGGGATCAAGGAAGGCTTCCTGAAAGGAGGATGTTTAAGCAGAGAAGCAAAGGATGAATCAAAGGTAAGTCAGCAGAGGGAAGGAGAGGACAGAGTGTACTCCAGGTGGGAACAGCATGGGCAAAGATCTTAACATGAGGCAGTAGAACTGAAAGAAAGTCAGGTGTCTCAAATGCAGTGGAGGCCTGGGAGAGTGGCCCAGGCAGGATGAGGCCTGAGCATGTCAGCAGGGCCACAGAAGGAGCTGGTGCTCAGGGACAGCAGAGTTCATGCAGAGAGCGTTCCTGGAACAGGAGCTGCTGTCCTCCACAGCCCCTTTGTTGGTGTTCAATAAAGATGAGCTTGTGGCTGTCAAAGGCATACAAATCAGGCCCAAACAGAAACCTGTTCCAGCGCAATTCTCAGGACTGCCAACAGATAATAATGTTACTCTAGGGAATAGCACTTTCTCATCAAAACCACACAACCAACACCAGGACCTTTCCATACCTTTCTAAACCTGTACCAAAAGTTTTTAAGGATTGGAAATAATCTCAAAGGGCATTTTTTAAATAGTCTGTGCTCTCATATACTGTTGGTGAAAGAGTAAATTAGCATATCCCCTTAGGAGGGCAGTTTGATAATAACTATCAAAACATAAAATGTATATTCCCTTAGAACCAGCAATTCCATTTCTAGGCACTCTCATATACAGAAAGACAGGTGTTTAAGATGCATACAAGAGGATGTTCACTACAACCTTGTTTATAATATCTAAAAGATCAGAAACAGATCCACCAATATGAGAATGAGTAAAAAGTATAGTATATCTACATGATGGAATATCATGAAGCCATTAAAAAAAACAAGGCAGAACTAAATGTACTGCTTGTAAGAAGAGATTTGCAGACATATTAAGTGAAAAAAATATGGTTCAGAATAGTATGCATAATGCAATCCTGCTTGAGTTTAAAAATTCATACATAAAGTGGTAGCAGGCTTTTATTAAATACTATGTTCTATTTTCCTGGACTCCCTCCCTATTTATGCCAAGAACTTTCCCCATTCTGGAAGCCAGAAGAAAGCACTTTGTCACTGTAGAACTGGTGAACAAAGCTTTCAAATTACTGGTTCACAGTTTAAGCAGAAACACATAACTGATCCCATACCCTCCCTATAAAGATGCTCAAAAAGTATTAGAAGGTTATAAGATGTAGAGTACCTTGTTCCTGCCTCAGGTCCCATGGAGTGAATGTTAGAACCACTAGATATGCCTAGGCATCCAAGACTAGAGGGCACAGTGCCCTGCCTAGGACAGGAAGCCCCAAAGTTTTCCTCCACACCACTGCCACCACCGATACAGCACAGGAAAGCAAAGATGCCTGCGTAGGGAGCCAAGAAAGACAGGCCTGGGATGGCCATGTCGAGCCACTAGGGAAAGGAAAGTGGACCAATATTTTCCTACACAGTATTGGAGCAGGGGTGGAATCTTAGGGTAGTGACAAAGGTGCATCCTAGCAAGAATGTATTTTAGTGGGTGCCAGTATATAGGGATGACCACATCTAAGAGCCACATCAGCTAACAGTTCATCTCAATGGGACCAGAAGAGCTAGGATCAGATGCCCACTCGCCACCTACGCTCTGTACCCATGGAGAGGACAGTTCTTCTAGAAAGGGAGAACTTCTCATTGCCCTTTCAATTGCTTGGCTTGAGCCGGCTGTCCTCCAGAATTCCTCCCACCCACTCCACACATGCAACCTTCTACTCATGTTTTCAAAAGCAGCTCAGATGTCACTTCTCCGTGAAGCTTTCTAGCTTCTAATCACATCATCAAACAAACTTCTACTACAGGGTTAGATCAAAGAAGCAAAAGCTATGAGCAATAGAAAACTAAGGATTTATTATAAAGATTAGATCTCGTGCAACTATGGAAGTTGGTTAAGAAATCCACACAACTCTGTTGCCTCTGCATCTGGCACTGGGCCTGAAGTCTCTATAATAGTCAGTGAGGCCAACAGTTGTGAAGAAAACTGGATGTGAATGGAGGAGAGCCAGGACAAACTGCAACCTGTGCGAACACACTGGGACCTAGGAAGACAAGTGAAACTCATGAGGACAAACTGAAATGTGCAACTTCCTTTCACTGTCTCTAAGCTCAGTGACTCAAGTGACCTATGGGAAAAAGTGGAGCCCTTTGCCACAGAGCTGAATGTACACCTGGCCCAGGACTCAGAGGAGTTGAAGGAGGAGATTCAGCAGGAGCTCAGAGAGCTGCAGGCCTCGGTGCTATCCTTCACCAACAAGGTGAGCCAGCAGATCAGTGTCAAAAGCATACATACTGCCACCATGCCCGGTGCCTTACTCTGTCCCTCGCAGTGTACTGGCTGCTACTTCACTTCAGCTTTCCAAATCTCACACAAAATTTTCTTGTGGTCAACCCTAACCGGGAACCATATAGGAAGGGAATCCTGGGAATTCTCCTTAGCTAAATTGATACAATACAAAGCCACCACAAGCACATATACCTACCTAGCAAGGTAAATCTCTGTCAGTACCTCTGGCAGGGGACAGCCAGACTATAAGCTCTGTTTCCTTGGGACCCAGCACAGCAGCTCTCAACAGATGTTCATTGACTCAAAGGAACTCTTTCCCCACCTCCCACTCAAACAAATGTTTGAGTATGTTCTGGGGCCCTGGGAAATAGCCCAGTGTTTTCCTGAAGAGTGCCATTTACATAAAAGTGAATGGAGCTATTGTTGGGGGTTTTCTGTTTTTCTGGAGACCATGGAGCTAAAACTGTCCAGGGGTTTGAAAGTAGCCAGCTTTCACACGCGGACTCCAAGTGGATTCAAACCTCAGGGGGTTAAAGAACACAGCATCCAATATGCAAATATGCCTGCAGCCAGGATTGCAGAGGTGAGAACTCCAGGCTGACAGCAGGCAATTCACACTTCAGAAAAGTGGCAGAGTGCCTGAGGTGGTTAGAAAAAACCTGAACAAAAAAACCCCTCAATGTCATCAGAAGGTTCCAGAAGCTAAGGAAAAGTACTCTTGGCTTTCTCTCTATATACAATTCTCTCACAACCTAGGAGGCTTAGGACCTGGATGCCAAAAAAGAATTTACAAATAAATGGCTATGCCAATGTGTTCCAATGTTTTCGTTAAATTAATCATAGTGCTATAAAAAGCGCTCATAAACATACCTTTAGATATAGAAGGAGCTCTCAAAATTCTCCCTCTGACCTATTCCCAATAGTCTAAAATCTGCTTAGCAGAAACAGTGTTTCAGGCTACCACATTATCAATTAAGTGACTATACTGTCCCAGTTACACTGTGCAAGGTTTTTGATAACTATCATTTCTAATGCTCAAGACAACGCTTCAAGAGAAACATTATTATCTCCTGTTTATGAAGAAATTGAGATATTAAAAAGGGTTAAAATACTTGTCCAAGAGCATACCTGGCCTGTAAATGGTGGGATTTGAATCCAAGTAAGTCTAACTCCAAAGTCTATGTTTTTTTCGCTTTCACAGCTCTGCTCAACATGAAAGAATAGAGCTTAGGGCACAAATGGCCCTGAGAGAGCACACACAGATGATTTATAAAATCTCTTCCAGTTTCAAAATTCCCAGTCTTTAATATGTATTTATACAGAGGTTAAGATATCTAGCTCAAATCCTTTCCACTGAACAGGTTTTAGTTGGGGGGAGAGGATGGTATATGCAAGTTCTGGTGCCTAAAGAAGACACTGGACGGGTAAAGTGGAGTGTAAGACTCCTAAGGGTGCCTATCTGATAAGATTTTCTGCTCTTTTCTGGGAAGCAGAAAACCACATGTTCAAAACCATACCCAGTAGCCTGGGGATTCCCATGCAACAAGTATTGGGAACACTCTCCATGCTAGCTTTGGAGAAGCACACAAGAACCTAACCTAGGGCTCTAGTGTCCAGAAAGTTTGGCCAGGTCACTCCACCGTGAGGAGGAAGGACAACTCTTTGCCTGCCCACAAGCAACTCTATGTGACTGCTCAGCTTTCCCTCACCTCCTGAATCATAATTGTCTTTTCTCCAATTCGCCAGTTTCCTTCTTCCCTTTTGGAGTGGACAGAAATGTGGCGCCCATCCACAAGTAAAGCTCTCTCTTGTAACGACAACAAAAAGAGGAAAAGAAAAAAGAAAGGAATGAAAAAGGAAAAAGCTCCTAATTACCATGAATAAATTGAGACAAAGAAAATATTCCCTTAACTGCACCTTTCCCTGGACATCTGCCACTCCATTCTTCTTGCAGAGACCAAGCTGCTGAGTCATTTTGCTATCTTTGCTATTTGGCTGAGGGAAGAAACAGGAGATTTCACCTGTAATGGCATGAATATTGGCTTTTAGGATGAGGCCAAAGTCAGACAAGGTTGGGACAAAAATCATTCCTAGTGAAGGGGATTTTTTAAGTGGCCTGTTAGTGCCATCTGCTGTACAATTCTAGAAAGCAAACTTGGGAAATTCTAATATCAGAGTCTGAAGGGGATTCATTTACTAATCTAATGTCTGTTGAGTGTGTCCTATGTGACAGGCAATGTGAAAAGACTGAAAGGTAGATACAAAGCTGAATATTACAAAGCCCCTACTTTCTTTTTTTTTTGAGACAGAGTCTGGCTCTTGCCCAGGCTAGAGTGCCGTGTCGTCAGCCTAGCTCATAGCAACCTCAAACTCCCGGGCTCAAGCAATTCTTCTGCCTCAGCCTCCCGAGTAGCTGGGACTACAGGCATGTGCCACCATGCCCGGCTAATTTTTTTCTATATATTTTTAGTTGTCTGGCTAATTTCTTTCTGTTTTCAGTAGAGACGGGGTCTCGCTCTTGCTCAGGCTGGTCTCGAACTCCTGAGCTCAAACAATCCGCCCGCCTCGGCCTCCCAGAGAGCTAGGATTACAGGCGTGAGCCCCTATTTTCTAGAGGTTCACAGCTTAGTGAAAGTGGAAGACATTCAAACAGACAAATTACAGTGTATTTTGTGCATCACAAGGGTATATGTAAGATGGAAAGGTAGCAAAAAAGGATCTTTAGGTTAAAGGGTTACCCCACAAAGATTTTGAAGGATGGCAGAATAAAGGTGGAGACAAGGGGCATTCTAGGCAAAGGGAAGAGGGTGGGCAAAGACTCTCAAGCACAAAATGACATTTCATTGGTAAACAGCTTAGTTTTATATTCTGTAAGCAATGAGGCCTTTGACTGGTTTTAGGCAGGGCTGGTAACTTGGTCAGACTGACACTTCACAAACACATTCTGGCAGCATGCAAGGTGAATGAATTATAAGGAAAGATTGGAAGGCTGGGCGCAGTGGCTCACGCCTGTAATCCTAGCACTCTGGGAGGCCGAGGCGGGCGGATGGTTTGAGCTCAGGAGTTCGAGACCAGCCTGAGCAAGAGCGAGACCCCGTCTCTACTAAAAATAGAAAGAAATTAATCGGACAACTAAAAATATATAGAAAAAATTAGCTAGGCATGGTGGTGCATGCCTGTAGTCCCAGCTACTCGGGAGGCTGAGGCAGAAGGATTGCTTGAGCCCAGGAGTTTGAGGTTGCTGTGAGCTAGGCTGACGCCACAGCACTCTAGCCTGGGCAAAAAGAGTGAGACTCTGTCTCAAAAAAAAAAAAAAAAAAAAAGATTGGAGGCAAAGAGACCAACCAGTCACAAGCCTATTACAACAGCGTACTTGTCAAATGATACATTAAGGCAGAGGCTGTGAGAAAGGAAAGGAGGAGATGAATTTGAGAGATTATCTCAAAGTAAAATAATAAAACATCAATAATACTGATGTTTCATTGTCTAAGGGAAAGAGAGAGATGTTTCATAGTCCAAAGAAAAGAGAGAGAGGTATATGGTTTGGGTACAGTGTGATGGGTACAGGAGTTAGAATGTAAGCTAATCACTTCTGTTTGGGACAAGTTAAATTTGAAGTGCTACAGACTACCCACAAGGTAAATGAACAGATGGGTCTAAAGTTCAGTGATCATCTCCTCCCATCTCTTCATTTCCCACAGTGGAAATTTTCTATTAGAGAAAGATTTCGCTCCCACTATATGTACCTCTGCAGCCCACTTCCCTCCAATTTGGGTAAGTACCTGTCCAATCTCTCTGGTATTCCAAGTATTTCCATCCTCTTTCAGTCGGAAACACCATAACACAACACAGAAAAGCATGGCTGGCTTTGAAGTCAGAAACACCCAACTACTGAATTTAATAGTTGTTACTTAGAGCAAGATACTTAACTTCCTCATTTGTAAAATGAAGTTAACACCTACTTTTCATGGTTGTTGTAGAGTTTAAAATAAATGATGTAAACAGAGGGTCTGGATATGAGCTAAACTGGGTACTCAGTTACAGTAAGTATACTAGCCTACTGACTAGTGTATTTGCTTGTTTTGTTTTTTGTGTTTTTTTTTTTAGACAGAGTCTCACTCTACCACCCAGGCTGGAGTGCAGTGGCACAATCATAGCTCACTGTAACCTCAAACTCCTGGGCACTAGCAATCCTCCTGCCTCAGCCTCCCAAAGAGCTGGTATTACAGGCATGCACCACTATGCCTGGCTAATTTTTTTTATTTTTGTAGTGATGGGGTCTGGCTGTGTTGCCCAGGCTGGTCTGGAACTCCTGGCCTTAAGCAATCCTCCCTCCCCAGTCTCCTAAAGTGCTAGGATTACAGACATGACCCACTGCACCGGCTAGCTCGTTCTTATTATGAGGATAATAACTACCATTTTTTGAGAAGTTACTACTTGCCAGGCATTGTGCCAACTGCTTTACCTTCATTATTTCACTTAATTTTCACAACAACCCCCTGAGGCATTACTGCCATTTTTCAGAAGAGGAAAGAGGAAACTATGGTTCGGAGATGTGTCTGGGCAGTGACTCAAATGCAGGTCTGCCTGATTCCCGATATCATTGCTCTTAACCTCGACTCTACATTTGCGTTTTACATTTGACAATTTGATTGCATTCAGTTTACTTTAAGCTGTCACATCCTTATTGCTGCGTTTTTAAGTGGTGGGACTCTCGTGTGACTCTCTTTACTTCTGCTACGATATTACCCACTCAATAGTGAAGCAATTAGAAAACATAAAATCTCTTTGGTAAGCGGGTGGCGTTTAACGGGTAACAACAAAGTGAAATTGAGGCCCAGGGAGGGGAAGGTATGGCGCCCGGGCCGCTGGGCCCTAAACCCGGGCCTCGCCCGTCTCTGGGATTCTGAGGATCCACCCCATCACCACTCGCATCGGGGCAAGCAAGGCTCATGGAGTCATTGAACCCTCCCTTCTTCCGGTGCTGACAGGAAAACTGAGGTCCTACGAGCGGATGGGGCCTGGCCTGCCCGCACCTCATTGCCACCTTGGAGGGCGCGTCCACCTTTGACCCTGCAGTTAGTTAGTTGCAGACTGCCATCGCTCCAGCCTCAGTTTTTCTACAGAGAATTAAATCTAGCGGCCTCTTAGGCTACTCACCCGTAGCAGAGGGAGATAGGAGGTGGGCCTTGAACGAAGACTGGAAGTACACCGACCAATCAGGTGAGCTTGGTTGCGCTGTGGGCAACCAACAGAATTGGGCAATAGGATCCTCGACCCGCCTCAAAGGTGCCTTTCTCTCACTGAGAACGTCGCGAGATCTTAACTCAAGTGGCACGATTGGTTGAAGGACTGTAATTGAGAGTTATGCCAGTGTTTCCTCGGATCTCTGATTGGTCTTCTAGAGAAGAAGGAGGCGAACGACAACCAGTTCCCTGCATGTCCATTGGTGGGCGGTGCGAGACGGCCGACGCGCGGGCCACAGCGCGGGCGTTCGAACTGGTGCTTGGCGGCGTTACCATGGAGATGTGGCCTGGCCGTTGCTTGGGGCTCGCGGGTTGACAGGACGCTCGGGTTGCCGGCCTTGGTGCTCTCTCCAGACGGCGCCGTCTTCTCCTCAGACAAGGCTGACCGAGGAGGAGTTTGGAAGCCCCCGAGGTGAGAAAGGGCGGGAGCAACAGAGGCAGGGCAGGCTTGGTTGGTAGTGTGGCGCCAGCCCGCGTGAGAGGGTGTGCGTGACGCCCGCGAGTACCAGGAGACGGGCGGTTGTGAGGGAACCGGCAGTTGGCGCTGCCGGTTCTTCCGAATGTTCACCTACTCTCCTAATTTTCACGCCCATAACTTTGCCTTTTCTTCAGCAATTATCTCATGAAGTCTTTTCTGAGTCCCAAAGTATTGCCTTTGACCCCATAACCCTGACTGCAACCTCTCTTAGAGCGATTCTATTCGGTCTTGAGTTGTGTACTCCCGGGAATCCCATTCTCCTCCCTTATCCCATATAATTCTGAAGACTTTGAGGTAAAGCAAACATGTTTCACAATGTCTTACGCATAATATATTTTCAGGAAATATCTGTTGAGTTAATTTAATTCACCACAAATAGATTGGATTCCCCTTTATGCCCTCCCCAGTTATCTCTCCCATTCAGAGATGATTTTTAATATTGAGGATGGGGGGGCACCCTAATCTCATATGTCAAAGGACTTGAAAGTTTATGGTTGGCCTTTCTACGCTTTGTGAGAGGTTAAACTTTTTTGTATTGGTTGCCACAACTCTTCCTGCATTGTGGTTTATAGCCTTGGTCTCCCAATACTTTTATTAGACTCATTATTCTTTCCTTAATACAAACCATTCCGTTGCTGTATGCCAAGATAGTTTATTTCCTTTTAGTTTCTTAGTGACCTGCAACTATTATCACATTTTAAATGTGCTTTGAAAAATGTTTTAAAGCATTTTCTCATTTGTATTTGTATTTATCTGTAAGTTGGGAGGCATTATAGTCTCTCCACTTCAGTGCATATTACAGCTGCTCAGATAACTTCCCATCCATCCATCAGATGTCCATCATAGAATGGCATTATCAAGACTTGTTTTGTTGTTAACTTATAGACTATCTATTTACAGTCTCATTGTTGATGATTCTTCCTTATATCAAATTCATAGCTCGATAGTGACTTTAATAAAAGGAGTGAAAAAAATCCGATACAGGCCAGGCATGGTGGCTCATGGCTGTAATCTTAACACTTTGGGAGGCTGAGGTGGGAGGATCAGAACTTTGAGACCAGCCTGAGCAACATAAGACCCTGTCTCTACAGAAAAATGCCAAAGTAGCTGGGGATGGTGGTGAGTGCTCATAGTCCCAGCTACTTCGGAGGCTGAGGCAGGAGGATTGGGTGAGCCCAGGGGTTTGAGGTTGCTGTGAGCTATGATGACACCACTGCTCTCTAGCCCAGGGAACACAGTAAGACCCTGTCTCAAAACAAAAGCAAAAAAAAAGATCAGATACAGAAGCTATGTTCCTATTACTCTTTTCTTTTTTAAATAAAAGTTTGAAACACTACCTTATAGTTAAACTGTAGATCTCTGACATGTAGTAGACTGGGGATTTAGGGCTTGGCTTTGACTCTGTCTCTCAAACTCATTCACTGTTGATGGCTTTGCAAGTCATTTAGCCCCTTTAGACCTCACTTTTTCCATCTGGGAAATCAAAGGGTTGAATTAGATTATTAATAGAATTCCTGTGGCTCTACTATCAATTTAGTCAAGTAGTTGATGTCAGGTAGACATCGTGCTCTCAGCCTTCCAGAGACCATACAGAATTTTTTAGCAGCTGAAAGCAGTAGCTACCACTTACTGAGCATTTACCCTGTGCAAAGCACTGTCTCAAAGACTTTATATAGTTATTACATTTTTCTTAGTATAGCACATTAATGTGCTGCCCATATAGCATTTTATTAAAAACTTTTGTTTTATGTTAATGAAAATCTTTACTATTTATAACAAATAGCCCTTGGAGCAATGTAGGGTATGATCCTCTCATTTTCCAGTTTAGGAGAAACAGCAATTTCTCTCTCTCTGCTATTTTTTTGTTTATAAAGTGAGGCATTGAACTCTTCTCAGATTCCTTCCAGATCTAGTGTTCCATGATGATTGATCTATTAATACAGTTTCCCCATGCTCGCTCAGCAAACCTGTTCATAATTTGCACAGAGTAAACCTCAACAAATTTTGTTAAATGAGTAATAGAGTTCTACTTCTTATACTTTGAGTGTTGTCATTGTATACTTTCTAAGTTACTATCTCAAGGGTTTTGATGTTCAACCCTGTTGAACAAGAAAACTTTTGCAGGCTGGGTGTAGTGGCTGACGCCTGTAACCCCAGCACTTTGGGAAGCCGAGGCGGGAGGGTCACTTGAGGCCTGGAGTTCCAGACCAGCCTGAGCAACATAGTGAGATCCTGTCTCTACAAAAAGAAAAATTAGCCAAGCGTGGTGGCACTGACCTGTAGTCCCCACTACTCAGGAGACTGAGGCAGATCGCTTCAGTCCAGGAGTTCAAGGCTGAAGTGAGCTATGATGAAACCACTGCACTTCAGCATGGGCAACAGAGTGAGACTCTGTCTCTTAAAAAAAAAAAAAAAAAAAAGACTTTCCATAGGTATAAATTGATAATAATAGATACCATATACTGTTCAGTGTTTATGTATCAAACACTGAATTTAACACTTTATTTACATTATTCCTGTTAATTATTTACATTATTCCTATTATTTATTTACATTATTCCTATTAATCCTCATGAAAGGAAACATCTTTTTCAAGTCACTGTCATTTTTTTGTCAGTTCAGTGCAGTAGCTTCCTAAATGATCTTCCTTCTCCCATTTTTCCCACCCGCTGAGTGAACTTTAAAGACATGTACCAGATCATATCCTTTCCCTACTTAAAATCTTCCAGTGACTTCCTACTTTCCTTACAAATAAAATTCAGACACTTTTATATGGCCCAATAGAGCCTACATAATCTGGCCCCTACCTTTCTATCCTCATACTGTTCTCCCTCTCAACTACTATGCTAGCCAAAATAGGCTTCTGGTGATTGCTTAATCATGCCATGTTCATTTCCACCTTAGGGCTAACGTGCTCACTTAGACTGTTCTTCCTCCTGATCTTTACGTGAATAACTCTCATATTATTTTAGGTTTCACTTCAAATATTCACTTCTGAATGAGGCCTTCTCTGATCATCCAATGTAAAGTAGGCCCTTCACCCTGCTTTATTTTTTTCTTAGCACTTACCATCATCTGAAATTGCCCTGATTATTTGATTAAAATCCCACTAAAATAATAGGTGTCATGAGGGCAATCACCCTGTGTGTTTTGTTCACTGCTATATCTCCAATGCATATAACAGGGCCTAGCTCATAAAAGGCTCTCAAAAAAATTTTCCTGAATGACTGGGTAAAGGTTCTTGTTGGAACTGTGACCATGGCTGTGTCCATAACAATTAATTTGAGTAACACAACCTTGCATTTTCTTGCCCACACGCAGTGAGTCAGGGCACCACCAACTGTGCCAGAATTTTCCTGAGTAATCAAATTACCCTGATACAAAACTTTCTAGCATCCATGACTACAGATGATATCAAATGCTTTTGTACAGTTTTAAATATAGTGTAGGGATATTTATTCATTAAACAATTATTGAATGTTTATTGTATCCAGACACAGTTTTAGATACTGGGGATAAAAAGACTTGTAAGAAGCTGGTTTGAAGGTAGTGAGTTAAATCAGTTGATTGTTCACAGTCAACACAGTCAATTACAGATCAATTTCCTTGTTCTACTCTTTCCCCCTTCTTACTACTGCACTTGACTAATCCTAAAAAACAAAACAAAACAAAACAAAACAAAAACCTATAAGACACATTCCTTGACCACAAGGAGATTATATTCTATTGGGGAAATAGACATATTCATAAATAATTATTATAGGATGTAACTGAAATGATAGAGCTATGCAAAAGGTATGATGCAAACACAGAAGGGACATCTGACCACATCCGGATAAGACCTCATTTGTGATTTAATCAGTAAAATGTAGATAGATGGAAAGTGAGGTTCGATGATAGTGGGAGGAGGCCACTTAAGGGCACAACATGAATAAATGCATAGAAAACTAAAATAGTCTAAGAAGCTGACTAAACTGGAGAGTGAGGAAGGGGGCTAGATTATAGAAGGCTTTGTGGGACATGCTAAGGAGCTTTGTCCTGTATGTAAGTGATAACATGACATTGAAGGATTTTATTTATTATTTTTTATTAATTAATTTATCTTTTGAAACAGAGTCTCACTCCATTGCCCTGAATAGAGTGCCCTGACATCAGCCTAGCTCACAGCAACCTCAAACTCCTGAGTTCAAGCGATCCTCGTGCCTCAACCTCCCGTGTAGCTGGGACTACAGGTGTGTACCACTATGCCCGGCTAATTTTTTCTATTTTTAGTAGAGATGGGGTCTTGCTCTTGCTCTTGCTCAGGCTGGTCTTGAACTAATCCTGGAGACATTTTGTTAGTGATCCATGCATTTTTTTGCTGTGAGACATATCCACGAGATTGTCTGTTTTATTATGAGGTGAACTAAAGTTACATTGAGATTCTGGAACTAACCCACTGAACAATATTGCACAATGTCCAGGCCAAAAAGACTCTAGTTGAGATTTCACCAGCAATGAGGA